CAGCACCACATAAGCAAAAAGAAAAAAGCCAGAAGTGGCGCTGTGGCTCAAGTGGTAGAGCACTAGCCTTGAGCTGAAGAGCTGAGGGACAGTGCCCAGGACCAGAGTTCAGGCCCCACGACTGGACCCAAAAAAAATAATAATAATCCAACTGTGATATAAAAAGCTTAGGCTAGGGCTGGGAAGGTGGCTCAGTGGTAGAGTGCTTGCCTTGCATGCATGAGGCCCTGGGTTTGAATTCTCAGCATGACATAAGCAGAATCAGCTGGAAGTGGTACTGTGGCTCAAGTGGTAGAGCGCCACCCTTGAGCTGAAGAGCTGAGGGACAGCGCCCAGGTCTAGAGTTCAAGCCCCATGACCAGCAAAAAAATAAATAAAAAAAAGCTTAGGCTAGAGTTATGAGTATGAGGTAGAATGAGAGGCTATATGGTGGAGAACCAGTCCTTTTTGGACATTCCAGTCCCAGTCACATCCCTAGTTCAATGCAGCTCTTAAGTATTCCATGTGGTAACAAACAGTAAAAAAAGACCTGTCTGGTCAAGCCACAGAATCGTAAAAAATAAATCATTCTTTCAGAACACCAATGTTTTGGGGTATAGTATTTTCAACCTAAAAAATTTGGTTATCTTGGGCTGGGAAGCTGGCTCAGTGGTAGAGCGCTCGCCTTGCATGCCGGAGGCCCTGGGTTCGATTCCTCAGTACCACATAAGCAAAAAGACAAAAGCTGGAAGTGATGAGATGGCTCAAGTGGTAGAACGCTAGCCTTGAGCTGAAGAGCTGAGGGACAGTGCCCAGGCCCAGAGTTCAGGCCCCATAACTGGACCCCCCCCAAAAAAAATTTGGTTATCTTGATCAATAAAATACTTAAGCTGTTTCTCTTTGTGGAAAAAGTTGGGAAATTATTTTAAAAAATAGCATCAAACAACAGCCCTAGAGTTTCCTTTAAATCACTTAAACATGATTTTTGCAGTGACACCAAGTTTCCAGGTGCTCAAATATGTATGCATGGGTGTTTTTTATTAAACAGGGAAAAACAAAGTGTATTTTTCTGAAGCTGAACTTCAATTACTTCCCGTTCCTAATATTTGAGAAAGATGTGTATTAAATTATTAATTACCACAATATGGATCAATACAAATTAAATATTCCAATAAAAACAAGTTGGTCACCACTTATATTTTATACTGTATACTTTAAAAAAACTTCAGAAGTTTTTAAAAACTTCTAAACACTTGAAAAAAGTGTTCTGCTTAAGCTAATACCACCACCAACCTCCCCCACCCAGAAAACAGAATACCTTCTGAAAAGAATCTTCATCTGTTATATCATAAACTAAAATAGCTCCATTTGAATCTCTGTAGTAAATTGGACCCAATGCATGGAATCTCTCTTGACCTGCTGTATCCTAAATAAAGCAACAAACATTTATTAGGTCAGAAAGGAAAAAATGTCTGTTACTATAAATACAATAAATTTTTCTTGTGTGCCAGAGTGTTGTCCCTTAGCTTTTCTGCTAAAGGCTATTTAGTGCTCTACCACAGTTCCAATTTCAGCTCTTTCTGAAATAAAGAGTCTCGTAGACTTTCCTGCTCAGTATAGCTTTGTACCATGATCCTCATATCTCAGCCTCCTGAATAGCAACAACTTTTGATTAAATGCAAAAGCAAAGCATAAAGTCACAGATAACTTCAAAACAGTATTAAAAGAAACACAACAAGTTACCAAAAAAACCCTTTAAGTCATTATAAGCATTATATCAGGTTTTACCGTTATACAAAGGTTACAATTCCCCTTTCAGCTTTCCTCCTCAGCAACCTCCCCATCCCTTTGAATAAAGGCATAAATTAGAAAAAATGTTCAGTTGCCATAGAGTCAAAATGACCAACACTGAATTATAAACCAGAAATATAACCTGCCCTAAATTCAAGTTCCCCACACAGGAAGAACGAACATAGTATGACATTGTACTAGGACCACTTGCTAACAGGTGTACTATTGTATTACCCTTGCCCTATGAGACTAACATGGTACCTAAAGGGGGAAAAGGTATAGGCTAGCTATCCCACTTCTCTCTGAAGTAGAATCCATGAGTTGATGCTTTTATGGCTGAAAGTTTTGATAGCAACATTCAAATATAAAATTGTATTCAAAGTGTAATTATTAACAAGATTGTAGGTATTTTTTATATAAAAATTCTTTTGCCAGGCGCCGGTGGCTCACGCCTGTAATCCTAGCTACTCAGGAGGCTGAGATCTGAGGATCGTGGTTCCAAGCCAGCCCGGGCAGGAAAGTCCCTGAGACTCATCTCCAATAAACCACTAGAAAACCGAAAGTGGCGTTGTGGCTCAAGTGGTAGAGCGCTCACCTTGAGCTGAAGAGCTGAGGGATAGTGCCCAAGCCCAGAGTTGAAGTCCCACAACCAACAACAACAACAACAAAAAAAAAACTTTTGTCTAGCCCTAATTTCCTAAAAATGTAGAAATTCAACTTTCTATTTCTTGAGCCAATTAGCTATTAGAATACCCCTAAAAAAGTTAAACTTACCCATATAGCAAGGTTAACTCTTTTCCCACCAATATTTAACTTCTTTGTTAAGAAAGATGCCTAAGAAAAAAGAAATATACATTAAACAATGTTTCACACAAAATAATGTTCCTCATCATAACTATACTTAGGCTGAGAGAAAAAGTAATCACTTTTTATTCATTAGCAAACTTTACTTTCATTAAAGACAGCACATTATTTACATTCTTAACTTAAAAAAAAAACATTTTGCTTTATGAACAAGTTATTTAAAAAATACAAGATGAAGCCGGGCGCTGGTGGCTCACGCCTGTAATCCTAGCTACTCAGGAGGCTGAGATCTGAGGATCGCGGTTCAAAGCCAGCCCGGGCAAGAGAGACCGTGAGACTCCTATCTCCAATAAACCACCAGAAAACCGGAAGTGGCGCTATAGCTCAAGTGGTAGAGCGTTCACCTTGAGCTGAAGAGCTGGGGACAGCGCCCAGGCCCAGAGTTCAAGCCCCACGACCGACCAAAAAAAAAAAAAAATACAAGATGAGCACTGGTGGCTCATGTCTGTAATCCTAGCTACTCAGGAGGCTGAGATTCTGAGCATGATTCCAAGCCAGCCCAAGCAGGGAAGCCTGTGTCCAGTTAACCACCAAAAAAGCCAGAAGTGAAGTTGTGGCTTAAGTGATACAGTGCTAGCCTTCAGCAAAAAGCTCAGGAAGCACTGAGTTCAAGCTCCAGGTCCAGCACACACACACAGAAATAATAAAATAAAATATACAAGAAAATCTAGGGGTATAGAGCAGTGGTAGAGGATTTGCCTAGCATATTTGAGGCCCTGGGTTCAGTCCCAGCATTGCAAAAACAATGAAAAAAGAACTTAAAAAAAGAATATACACATCAAGAGAATAGGTTAAGTACTTTTTCTTTTTTTTTTGGGGTCCGGTCCTGGGGCCTGAACTCTGGGCCTCAGCTCTTCAGCTCAAGGCTAGCGCTCTACCACTTGAGCCACAGCGCCACTTCCAGCTTTTTTCTTTTTGCTTATGTGGTGCTGAGGAATTGAACCCAGGGCCTCTGGCATGCAAGGCAAGCACTCTACCACTGAGCCACCTTCCCAGCCCTTAAGTACTTTTTCTTAGCCGTCCTCCACCCCCATCTATATTGTGAACAATTTTTTTCTTCAATATTTGATTTTACCTTCCTTATTGATAGGAAAAGCCTAAGAGATTTCTAAGATATACTGGTATTTTTCTTGCTATATGATGACCATTATTTCAAATAGCTCTGCATTCATGCAACTTAACTGTTTAACATATATGTAACAATAATCCTAAGTATAATGTCACAGAAATGAAAGAACAGTCAGGTGATGATGGCATATCTCGGTAATTCCTAGCTACTCAGGAAGTTGAGATTTGAGGATTGCATTTCAAAGTCTCCAATTAACCACCTAAAAACTGGAAGTGGAAGCTGGTGGCTCACGTCTGCAATCCTAGCTACTCAGGAGGCTGAGATCTGAGGATCACAGTTTGAAGCCAACAGGGGCAGAAGAGTCCCTGTGAGCCTCTTACTTAACCACTCAAAAACCCCATTATTGACTAAAACCAAAAACGAAATCAAAACCAAAACCCCAAAAAGCTAGAAGTAGAGCTGGGGTATGAAGTGATAGTGTCAGCCTTAGGCAAAAAAGCTCAGGGACAGTTCCCAGACCCTGAGTTAAGCCCTATGATTGGAGCATGCGCGTGCGCACATGCGGGCGCGCGCGCACACACACGACACACACACACACACACACTGCAAGAACATGACGCTAGCCTTCAAGGAGCTCATAGTTTATTGGAGAATTTAAATGTAAAGAGAAGTGCAGGGCTGGGAAGGTGGCTCAATGGTAGAGCGCTTGCCTTGCACGCATGAGGCCCTGGGTTCGATTCCTCAGCACCACATAAGCAAAAAGAAAAAAGCCAGAAGTGGCGCTGTGGCTCAAGTGGTAGAGCACTAGCCTTGAGCTGAAGAGCTGAGGGACAGCACCCAGGCCCAGAGTTCAGGCCCCACGACCGAACCCAAAAAAAAAAAAAAAAAAAAGAAGTGCAACTACATGTGATAATGGCTAACAAGTATACTATAAAAAGATCTCTGAGAAGTTAATAAACGATCTCCTCTGAAGCCATTGGAACTTGAAAAAAATGACTCCACCTCCAAGGGGAACTTCAAGTTGGTATGGTTAGTGACAGAATGAAACTACACAGATAAACTAAAGCTGAATCACAAAGATCTTAGGGTTTATCTTGTAGGTCTTAACTATGGGATGGGAAGGTGACTCAGTGGTAGAGCGCTTGCCTTGCATGAGGCCCTGGATTCCATTCCTCAGCACCACATAAGCAGGAAGAAAAAAAAAAGCCAGAAGTGGCACTGTGGCTCAAGTGGTAGAGCGCTAGCCTTGAGCTGAGGGACAGCGCCCAGGCCCAGAGTTCAGGAGCCATGACTGGACCCCCCCCCCAAAAAATGAAGAAGCTACAAAGAAATAGTTAGAAAGAGATAGTTTTATCTCCAACTAACCACCAGAAAACCAGAAGTGGCACTGTGGTTCAAGTAGTACAATGTTCACCTCGAGCTGAAGAGCTGAGGGATAGAACACAGGCCTAGAGTTCAAGCCCCATTACCAACAAAAGAAAAAAGAAATCAGCAAATATCAAATGGTTGAAATTATCTTTTTTTTTTGGGGGGGGGAGTTACCAATCTTGTGTTCTTGGATTTGGTTTACCAGTATAACACTTACGAATTTACATGTCATCCTTGTCCAGGGGCCATGCTTAATGTCTGTGGTGCTCCAATTGTAGTATATGTGCTGCAGAAGTGCACACATAAAATGTATCTTTTTAAATTGGTTCTGTATGGCAGAACTTGATTTAGCCAGATTACTAAAATACTACTTGCCATTATGATGCATAGTTGTCATTATGATTGCACATCAGTGAAGCAGAAATGGGGAAGACAAGAATCTAAAGCAATCCATGAAAACACACTTGAGAAAGCTGCTCATATGCACACAGTGAAAGGAATTTCTATGCTTTCAAGGAATGATACTTCTGTAAATTCTCAAAAGGAGGAGAGGGATTGGAAGCGTAGTTCAGTTGGTAAAGTACTACCCAATAAGAGAAAGCAGCCACAGCTACCAAGTTTGAATTCTGATCTTTTACCTGAAAGTAAAAAAGGAAGAGAGAGAGGCTGAGAAGGTGGCTCAGTGGTAGAGTGCTTGCCTTACATGCATGAGGCCCTGGGTTCAATTCCTCAGCACCATAAGCAAAAGAAAAGCCAGAAGTGGCGCTGCGGTTCAAATGCTAGAGCGCTAACCTTGAGCTGAAGAGCTAACGGACAGTGCCCAGGCCGAGGTCAGGCCCCACGACCGGACCCCCCCCCACAAAAAATTTTTTAAAAAGGAAGAGAGAGGTATCAAAGAATAGTAATTCATAAGGTTCTATAACTGTAGGAAAGGAAGGGGGAAATCCAGACTATGTGCCAAGCTCTTGCTTGGGATATCCATTTAATTTGCAACAACCCACTGAAGTAGATAATTATCCCTATTTTACAGTTATAAACTTGAGATTTAAAGAAATACAGTGACTCACTCAAAGTCAAGATAACTCAGCTGGTGCTGTAGTGGGTGGAAGACTGCCTCACTCTATCATGATTTTTCCGTTTTACAAAGCTGTCTAGTTGAAAACACTCATACATTTCATACATTGCCCTGACAGTCAATCACATGGACTGTAAGTGTTCCTGGACACCAACTCACCTCCAAAAATATTCTCAGGGAGGGGCTGCGAAGGTGGCTCAGTGGTAAAGCGCATGCCTTGCATGCCAGAGGCCCTGGGTTCTATTCCTCAGCACCACATAAGCAAAAAGAAAAAAGCCGGAAGTGGCGCTGTGGCTCAAGTGGTAGAGTGCTAGCCTTGAGCTGAAGAGCTGAGGGACAGTGCCCAGGCCCAGAGTTCAGGCCCCATGACCGGACCCCCCAAAAAAAACCAAAACAAAAATATTCTCAGGGAGGCCACAAAGTAACAATGATCAAAATAATGACATTTTCCACCTATTCCTCCAAACACTAAGTAGTAACACAAATACTTCCATACCAATGATTTCACCTTCCAAAGTTTAGTAGTAGTAAAAAAAAAAAAAAAAAAATCAACCATTTAGGCAAGGCACAGGTGGCTCACACCAGTCAACCTAGCTACTCAGGAGGTGAAATCTGAGGACTGAAGTTCAAAGCCAGCCCAGGTAGGGAAGTCTTTGAGACTTTTAGCTCCAATAAACAACTAAAAAGCCAGAGTAGAACTGTGGCTCAAGTGATAGAGTACTAGCCTTAGGCAAAAAAAACTCAGGGACTGGGCCCAGGATGAGTTCAAGCGCTAGGTCTGGCACCAAAAAAATAAAATTAAAAATTAACAACTATTAGTTCAGGTGGTCATTTACCTAATATCTTTTCCAAAATTATAGTGGATGATCACCCCGTGCCCAAAATCTGTTTACACAAGAAAATGGAAGCTGGGCATGATGGTTCATACCTATAATCCTATTGCATGAAGGAATGCAGCTTGAGACTAGCTGAAGGGAAAAGGTGTGACCTGCATCTCAACAAAACAGCTGAGCGTGATGGTTTTGTCATCCTAGCTATGTGGAAAGCATAAATAAGAGGATTAAGGCCCAGGAAAGCCCAGGTAAAAATGAGACCCCATATCAAAAATAACTCAAGCATAATGACATAAAAACAGACCAAATGAATGAAATACCTGGAATAAAACCACACTGCTAAAACTATATAATTGTCAACAATGAAGCTACAAATAAAAGCCTTAGAGAAGAAAGCCTCTTCAACAAACCCTGTGGGGACAATTTGTTATCCACTTGTAGGAGAATGAAACGACCCCTATTTCCTATTTAGTATAAAAATAAACTCCAAATTATCAAAGAACTCAAAGTAAGACTGGAAACTTTAATAAGGAAAAACTCAGGAAGTTACTGGCACAGGTTAATTATTTTCTGAATAGAACTCCAGTTACCCAAGAAAACAAGAGCAAGAATAGGACTCCATCAACTGTAAAAGGTTTTGCACAACTAAAGAAGTAATTACCAAGGACAACCTATGGAATAGAAGGAAATCTTTGCCAGTTATTCAACAAAGGATTAATACCCAAATATACCAAGACAAACAAACAGCAAAAGAACAAATAATTCAATTAATAAGTAGACAAGTGAATTGAACAGGACAGTTCCCAGAGAAAGAAATACAAATGGCTAATAGAGATGAAAAAATGTCCAACATCTCTAACCATAATGGAAATGCAAATAAAACCTACACTAAGATTGTATCTTACTCAAGTCAGAATGGCAATGAAAGGAGTGACACTGATCAAGATGCAATGCATTTGGGCTGGGAAGGTGGCTCAGTGGTAGAGCACTTGCCTTGCATGCATGAGGCCCTGGGTTTGATTCCTCAGCACCACATAAGCAAAAAGAAAAAAAGTGGGAAGTGGCGCTGTGGCTCAAGTGGTAGAGCACTAGCCTTGATCTGAAGAGCTGGACAGCGTCCAAGCCCAGAGTTCAGGCCCCACGACCAGACCCCCTCTCCCTCCAAAAAAGATGCAATGCATTCATAACTCTTTTGTTAAAAGGGTACTCCTTTGTACAACTACTTAAACACTGGAAAAAAAAAAAGATGTGTGTGTAGAGTGCTTGCCTAGCATGCATGAAGCCTTGGGTTTGATTCCTTAGGACCACATAAACAGAAAGAGCTGGACGTGGTGCTGTGGCTTAAGGAGTACAGTGCTAGCCTTGAGCAAAAGAAGCTCAGGGACAGCTCAGGGCCCTGAGTTCAAGCCCCAGGACTGACAAAAAAAAAAAAAAAAGAAAGACATGGCACACATGTTCCATGGAATATTACATAGCCATGAGAAAAAATGATATCATGTTCTGTGCAGAAAAAAAGATGGAATTAGAGAACATCAAGTTGAGTGAGGTAAGCCATGCTCAAAAAGTCAAATATTGGGGGCTGGGAAGGTGGCTCAGTGGTAGAGCGCTTGCCTTGCATGCATGAGGCCCTAGGTTCGATTCCTTAGCACCACATAAGCAAAAAGAAAAAAGCCGGAAGTGGCACTGTGGCTCAAGTGGTAAAGTGCTAGCCTTGAGCTGAAGAGCTGAGGTACAGCGTCCAGGCGCAGAGTTCAGGCCCCACGACTGAACCAAAAAAAAAAAAAAAAAGTCAAATATTGTATGTTTTTGTTCATATGGGGAAGCTAAACCTATGGAGATGCATATTATAACTATGTGACTATTTAGGAGGATGAGGGAGGAGAGGGTAAAGATAAGGTATTTTAGACATTAAGGACATTTTAGATATTCAAAATAATCTTACAAACAAGAATATAAGATTGTGACACAAAGCATAAAACCAACTGCCAAATCTTGCTTAAGAGGTTAAGGTAAATGTAAAGAAAATACATACCCACACATAAACCTCCCCCTTCTCCTCCCCCCCCCCACAACAGAACAATTCCATACCACTTCTATTTCTAAGATCTTAGAAACTTAATCTATATCCTAGTTTTCTCATGTACCAAACTGTCCAATTAACCTTACAGTAGCAATTTGCTAATCAAATACCAGGTACCTGCTCTAAACATTCAGGAAGCAGACATAGAATTTCAGTTAGAACCCTAAAAGAGAAGATGAATATTCTGATTCTTACTTCTAACAGATTAGTCACTCTTAAATTAGAGTGCATTATTTTCAGTAAGTACTTTCAATAAGGAAGAGAAAGGCCCAAGAAAAGAAAATAATCTCCCAGGAGTGTAGACACAAAGAAGACACACCCAGCACAGGAAGTGATTACAACTGAAATGGCACAATCTTTAAGAACAAAGTGAAAAAAATTAACTGATGGTCAAAGTTAAGAGTAATCACCTTTATATTCCACAATACTAGCATGATAGGTATAAAATAAATATTCCTAGAATTCATTAGTCAAAAATATTGCTTAATAAATTCTACAGAAAAAAAAACTAACTCCAGTTGTCTTCTTTATCTCTATCCAGTTTATCAAAAGCTCAATTTAGAAAAACAGATGCGTTCACACACAGGAAAAGTTTGGAGAATTCAAGTGCTGGTCAGAGAATTTGTCTGAAAGATTTCACCATAATAATCAAGTCCCCTGCAAAAAGGGAGAGTACTATAATACAAAAGCACAGTCCGGTCGTGGGGCCTGAACTCTGGGCCTAGGCACTGTCCCTCAGCTCTTCAGCTCAAGGCTAGTGCTCTACTGCTTGAGCCACAGTGCCACTTCTGGCTTTTTTTTTTTCTTTTTGCTTATGTGGTGCTGAGGAATTGAACCCAGGGCCTCATGCATGCAAGGCAAGTGCTCCACCACTGAGCCACCTTCCCAGCCCCATAGCAAAGTGTGTGTGTGTGTGTGTGTGCGTACGCATGCATGTGCAAAGTGTGTGTGTGCGTGTGTGTGTGTGTGTATACGCATGCATGTGCGCATACCCCAGTGAACTCAGGGCCTTGAGTTCTCCCTTAGTGTTTTTATTCAAGGCTGGTATTCTACTACTTGAGCCATATTTCCACTTCCAGTTTTTGCTGTTTAACTGGGGAAAAGACTCTCCAATTTGCCTACCACAGTTGGCTTGGAACTAAAGTCCTTAGATCTTAGCCTCCTGTATAGGTAGATAGGATTACAGGAGTGAACTAGCTGGGATTATAGACTTGAGCCTTGAGTGATAGGCTGCCAAGATTTTT